CCTGAGCTAACAAGACAAACAGCATGTTTTACAATTATTGCTTCCATGCTTTGTATACCCTGTTCCTTAGAGTAAATCTTTTACTGCCCCTCACCCATTTACTTGCATGTATCACATTTTCAATAAAAAGGCACGATGATTCCTAGCAGTTGTCACTCCTCAGAGAGCGATCTCTGGGAGTGTCCAGCTGAGGACGTGCATAAAAAGGCACGAGGCCTTAGTCTTCCTTTCTTTCCAGCGCTGCCTCCATCGAGATAACCCACCCATGCCGAGGCTGGACCCCGGCAAATAAAGTTAATAAAATAATTCTTTTTAAAAAATACATATTAACTCTTAATTTACAACTGCTTAAGAACCAAGACCTCAGCCCTAAAGCACCTCGACGCTATGGCAGCAAAGAACCTTCTTATCCACACACCTCCAGGGAAGCCTCTGGCCGACAAGCACCAAGACAACAGCCACTGAGCTTTTCACCATAGAGTCCCTTTTTCAAAAAGTTTGGGGACTGGGATTTCAGCCACTGAAGACCTCTGCCCAGACTTCCTCCTCCTGACCCCGTCTAGCCAGCACTCAGGTGAGCACCACTTACCCTCGCTGCCTCTTTCCACCTCTCATCTGTCTCTCTCCTCTTTTTTTTTTTGGAGAAGTTTTTGCTATAGGTCATGTGTGCTTGCCAGAAAGAGAGACAGAAAGCGAGAAATCACCCCCCACGGGGGATGGCCACACCGCAATCCCTTCTCCTCCATTCTCCTCTCGGGATCTTGGGCACGCACGCACACACGCCCGGCGTGAGTTTAAGCCACCGGGTCCGGGATGCGAACTGCGGTTGACTACGTGGGAGTGCAGCGCCATGACCTCTACGCGCTGCTCCTATAGGATGAGCCAATCAGCAGCCATCTATATCTGAGTTCCAAGTGAGCCCATTTTCATTTTTTGACCCAAAATTTTTTTCTTCTCTTTTGCTTATTTTTTTTCTCTTTTTTCCCCATACCGTTTCCTTTTCTTTCTTTTTTTTTTTTTCCCGGAGAGATTTTCGCTACAGGGCGCGTGCGCTCGCCAGACAGAGAGAGACACAGAGACAGAAAGTGAGAAATCACCCCCCAGGGGGGATGGTCACGCCACAATCCCTTCTCCTCCGTTCTCCTCTCGGGATCTTGGGCACGCACGCACACGCACCCAGCATGAGTTTTAAGCCACCGGGTCCAGGACGTGAACTGCGGTCGACTACGTGGGAGTCCAGCCACATAGCCATTACGCTAACTGCTGGTCCACACCTCTCTCGCTTTTCTGCTCCGCTTCCACACACTGACTTTCTAGACAGGCCTAGGTACTCAGTAGCCAAACATCTGAATACTTTCAGGGTCAGAATTACCTTCAACTTTCATAGAGTCGGTTGTAGACAGGGAGGAAAGCAGTACCATCTGCAGGTCGCCTCTGCCTGCACGCCTTGCTCTCTGTCTCTGTCTCTCTGTCTGGTGAGCGCACATGCCCTATAGCAAAGACCTCTCCAAAAAACAAAGGAAGGAAGGAAGGAAGGAAGGAAGGACGGATGGACGAACCAAGAGAATGGTCAGCCTCATGGTAGGGACAAGTCCGGAGCTGAGTGTTAACTTCCAGAGTTCAAATGGAAGATCAGATCACAGTAACAGTGCAGATTCGATAGAAGAGGGATTAATTACATCAGCTCGAACTAGTGAAATAGAATATTTGAGACTAAAACAGGACTGATTTTGTTTGATGCTTTCATTTCCGTATTTAGGATTTCTGTCTTCCCTTGAACTGTTGATAGGTTCATCTACCTACTATTTGAACTGGATCCTAACTTTTCTCCTGGCTTTAAGTTTTAAGCAAATTTCTCTTAATTTTTTTTTTTAATTTTGATCAATTAAAACTAAAACTTTTTTTGAAATAAAAAATGTATTCAAAAGATAATTATATCAATAAAAAGAATTGGGGACTGGCCCCATGACTTGGTAGTTAAGGCAGCCAGGTCCCACATGGTCGGCCACATGGTTCTTTTTTTTTTTTTTTGGAGAGGTTTTGCCTTAGGGTACACGTATGTGCTTACTGGGGAGAGAAACAGACGATGAGGCAAAGTGAGAACCAGCCTGCTGGGGTGGGTTAGGCCGTAGTCTCTCCTCCACTTTCCTCCCAGGCTCTTGGGCATGTACACACGCACCAGGTGTGATTTCCAACCCATCGGGTTTGGGATGCGAACTCCGGTCAGCCACGTGGGAGTCCGTGACATAGCCACTATACACCTGCTGGTCCCCAGCGACGTGGTCCTAATCCCAGACGCGTTGTGCTGGAGAAACATGCAGAAGTGTGTGTGCGCCTAAGACCCCGACATGACGGGGAAATGGAGGAGAAGGGGTTGTGGCGTGGCCATCCCCCTGGGCAGTGCTCCCTCCCTCTCCCTCTTTCTCTCTGATAAGCACAAGTGCCCTCTGACAAAATGAAAAACAAGAACAAACTTTTCTTTTTTAATTGCAGGAGTGTGCACGCTCACCAGAGAGAGACAGAGACAGAAAGAAAGCGCTCCCCAATCTCTTGGTCTCTCTGTCCTGCTAGGATGTGAGCACACATGCACACACACCCGGCGT